CTTTCTTGACTGGTGCATTTGCCACCATTTGCCAGTCGGCCGTGTTACCCGAGAGCGGAACTTTTTCTCTCGGACACACATACTCTTTTTCTCTCTTTCCTTCTCTCGCACCTCGTATCGCTCTACCAAAAAGCCATTTCGCGTTCCACCTCGAATATCATTGTATTACATGTTACTGTTGATATACGCGAGAACAACAAATACCGCAACAATCTACCAACTGTTTAATCGCTCAAACGTCTGTCAATAGATTTGCAACGTCGGAGCGTCGCGCTGCATTCGTTTGCGTGTATAAATGTACACATTGTTTGCGCGACACCTAAGCTCTGTTTATCTTGCCAACGAACAATCTCGAATCCGAGCGCATATATCGATTTGGAATATCACATCCGAAATTAAAATGCAAGAGCACAGAGTTCAAGGCGCACAGAGGTTCAAGGCGTTAGTTTGTCGAATCGCGGAGTATTCTCTGCCGTAAAAGATACGTAAATACTAACATAAATGTATCTTTCGAACTCGACGTTGTCAGTCGAAAATTAAATTGTATATTAAGCTCGCAAATATTGTCAAATTTGTAGGCCAGTAAGAAATCTCAAGATATATAGTTCTTGTACGAACTTATTATGATACTTATTATGATACTTTAATATCGTAAATCGTAGCTTATTGTCATTTTCTTTACGCAAAAACTTAAGGAAGGACTCGTTTAACCGAGTCGAAATTTTGGTTCTACATCGACCCTGCAAATTCAATCTTGAAGAACTTGAAGAGTTGAACTTGAAAAGTCAATGAAGAATCCACAGCTGTTGACTCACCTTAATGCTGCAGATGATTGCCGTTTTCTTCATGTTATAGAAGCTCGAAGAAGCACTCTATAAGAATTATTTTAAGCTTTTTATTTATTTTCAATTTATTTTAACTATTTTTTTATTATTTATACAGAAAATTATTCAATTTTTTAGCTATCACAACTAAATAATTTTTACTATGAAAGCAAGAAAATTTGCTCCTGTATTTAATATTTTTAGTTGTCCATATATTAGCAAATCTTTTTTTTCCGTGTAATATTCGATTATCTCAATACATTTTAGTAAAATTTCATCTTAAGACTGCGGACCGTTCGGAACAGCCACGACTCGTCGATAAAGATTCACCTCGATATTTTTTAACAAAATAAGTCTAGAAATATACGATGCAATCCGAATGTCGCTTCGTCGCTGTTCCCTTCTTACTTGATACATCACACTCCGCGGAGAAAATGCCAGAAAAATGAAGCGTCCGAACGCATCAAATGCATAAAATCAACGCTAGTTCACTGCCATGTGTTAGTTCATCATATATTAGTTGGCAAATATATACGCGCGATTCGCAATTGATAAACTGTGGCTATATTTAAACAAAATTTATACAGCTAAGCAAATGTTAAATTATTTAATAAAGATTAATATGTGGGCAAATAGGTAAAAGAACAAGACACTCTCTAATCTCATCTAATTTTTCCCTTTTTTCCCTTTCTTTTTTTCTTTTCTTCTTTTCTTCTTTCTCTCTTTCTGCTTTTTTTGGAAATTTTGATGAGATTTATAGCTTTTAAAAGAGCCGATATGCAGCTGTAAAGACAAAAACAGTTAACAGTTATGTGTCTAATAATGCTGTGCTCCAATAGAGATTTAAACTTGAATTCGGTATAATAATGATATACTTGTGATAAACACAAGTGAAAAAAAAACATTGTTGCCAGATGCAAACGAAACAAGAATCGCGATTCAAAGAGCATTATTAAACTGAAAAATCAGCACTTGAGAAATACATACTATTTTAAAACCAGTACTCATCGCTAATGTAATTTACAAGCTCTGCTTGAGAACATAATTAATTACAGTTTTGCATTTATGAAACGTTAATCGATTATTTGGATCAATAGTTCTTGCACGAAATAATAGATTACACAAAATAACAAATACAGATATAGATTAACGATTAATCGGAGTTCAATTGAACTATAAATTATATGGCGAATGATGATAAACTATGAGTATCAGCCTAAATTTCGACTCAGATATCTTTTTATTGTCGATAAGTTTGTCAAAGATCGTTAAAAAAATAATAAATGATTTGACACATCTTGAAAATGTATGATGTATCGTTGACCGCACCTCGTCGTCCTGTGTCCTAACTTCTCGATCTAGACTCCTGGCTGCTCCGTTGTGGCACTGACACTGACACTCGCGTAGAGACGATTCAATTGAAGATACACGTGTTAAATAACGCGATGCCAACGAGAGACTAATTATCTCAAAAGAGCGGACGCGAATAGTTTAATATTATCAAAGAAGAACAATAGATAACACACCAGCATACGTTAACCCGTAGTAGGCGTATCACTCGCCAGCTCGGAACTGAATGGAAACATCCGGAAGAGTCCGCGAGACACAAAGATAAAGACCGTCTCGAATGTTTCGAATGTTTTGATTGTGTATCGCTCGGCGCTCGTTGACGAGCGATAGTTAGTGATGGGAGAAGGATGAGTTTACATTTTTTGTCAATTGTACTTTCGCTCATCGCGTACTTTCGTTATTGTAACCGAGAGCGTTACACTTTATTTTAATCAATATATTATAAATGCTTTTAAGAAAAATGTCGAGAAACAAAAAAGCGTCTGCAAATAAAAATCTGAATTATTAAATAATTTAACATCTGCTTAGCTGTATAAATTTCGTTCAAATGTTTTGTCAATTGCCAATCCCGCGTGTATATTTGCCAACTAACACATGGCAGTGAACTAGCGTTGATTTTATGTATTTAATGCGTTCGGACGCTTCATTTTTTTGGCATTTTCTCCGCGGAGCATGATATATCAGATAAAAAACGGGGAACAGCGACGAAGCAACATTCGGATTGCATCGTGTATATCTAGATTTGTCATTTTGTTAAAAAATATCGAGGTAAACGTCGGATCTTTATCGTCGAGTCGTGGCTGTTCCGAACGGTCCGCAATCTTAAGATGAAATTTTACTAAAATATATTGAGATAATCAAATATTAAATAATCAAAAAATAGTTAAAATTAATTGAAAATAAATAAAAAGCTTGAACATTCAATAATTCTTATATGAGTGCTTCTTTGAGTTTCTATAACATGAAGAAAACGGCAATCATCTGTAAAAGAAACTGACGCAATAGAAACGCATAAAGCGAAATACAAATTTTTATTTATCCAGCGCCGTCACATGTTTAATGCACTGAGAAAAAAATGCTTGAAAATTTTTCTTCTGTGAAATAAAATTTATTTGCACAGTTTCATCTTTTCCATAGAAATAAACTTTATATCATAGAAATTTAATTTCAGAAATAAAGTTTATTTCAAAGAAATAAATTTTATTTTAAATAAACTTTATATCCCGCAAATAAATTTTTAAGTACTTCTTTTCAATATGTACCGGATAACATAAAAAGCTTTAAAAGATAATATTGGTACTTTTGAAACTTATAGCAGCTTCTGAATTTCGACTCGAGCGTATCTTATTTTATGTGACGAACACGACAAACCTCCTGCATGTAAATATTGAGAAAAAAATTCTTGAAAATTTATTTGCGGGATATAGAGTTTATTTGTGTAAAATAGAGTTTATTTTTGTAAAATAAAATTTATTTTTGTGAAGCAAACTTTTACCCCATACACACACAAAAATAAATGTTCTAGTATTTTTCTTTCAATATATACAGGATGTTTGACAATTATTGATACATCTGTTGTGTGTAGATAGCACTTCTCAAATTGTATACAAAATTCCTTTATTATTTCGCAACCACATAAAATTTTTAGTTATTAATCAAAGAGGATTAGTCAATGTGTGTGTGTGTGTGATCACGTGTGTGTGATTTTTAGTTATTAATCAAAGAGGATTAGTCAATGTGTGTGTGTATGTGATCACGCGCGATATGGTAGATGAGAGTTGTAATGGAGACGTCTGCCGTTGTTTGCTTGTATATTAGCTCAAACCGAACAAAAGAGTTCTCTACCATTTGGTAAATGACCAGATAAATTTTTAGTTATTGATTAAAAAAGATTAGTGCACGATGGTGCGCGTCGTTCAATCGTACAATCGACAGTTTTTCATCGTGAAACCCAGTATCGTTAATTCCTCGACAATTCTGCATACACATATGCTCGATCCCGTCGTGATCCAAGCCATCTTCGCGACGAAACGTACGGTAAAGAAGGTTTCGATAAGCTCTCCCGAAGAATAACGATAGATCGGATTGTGGAAAATGCTGCGGAATCACGCGAAGCGAAAAGCAGAGAGAGAGAGAGAGAGATCGGTCTTTTGTATGACGAAGAATCGATCTTCCGTTATACTACGTCGAGATATTCACTTCCGAAGCGACGGGCAAAGCCGCAAGTTTTGAAATTCTTCAGGCGTGAATGCACGACTACGATTATGGGCGTGGACGACGACGTTGGATATCGATGAAGATATAATGCACCCTGTTGAGCGTGGACCCTATCCTCTCTCGTAAACCCGCAGGCAGAAGTCGCGGAAGCGAAAGGCAAATTCGAGACTACCCGCACTTTCGACCGAGAACGTATCTTTTTGCCTATCTGTCATGGCTCTTCACCGACAAGCAACGCGAGAGAGAGATGTTATCGGGAATCGATGGAGATGCTGCAACATTCTGTTTCCCCCCTGCCACTTACACCCTATCCCCATACGATAGCGAGTTAGATACACCCGAGCCTGTCGTTCCGTCCGAGCTATCGGCTATTTTTGACACTTCCGCCGGTGACAGCCAGGCAACCGATATCAGCGGTGAATCGTCGTCGCGTGGATTCCGTGAACACAATAATGCAATAGATACTACAACTACGGGGTTAACATCGGTCGCGCTAGATTCGTCGATTATGACGAATCAATACTTAGCCGTTTTGACATTTCTTCAGTCCCCGATGGGAGAAGAAACTGAAAGGTAGCGCGAGACAGAAATGATATTATTGATCCACAGGTGGAGCCGTTATTATGGTGCCGCCGACGAATCAAACGAAGCTGGAAGGCGAGAAGGTGCAGTTCTCGTGTGAGGCGAAGGCCCTTCCGGGTAACGTGACGGTGCGCTGGTTTCGCGAGGGTGCCCCTGTCACGGAAGTTTCGGCCCTGGACACCAGGGTGTCCATCAAGATGGACGGCAGCCTGGTCATCAACCCTGTCAGCGCCGATGACTCCGGTCAATATCTGTGCGAAGTCACGAACGGCATTGGCGATCCTCAAAGTGCCAGCGCTTATCTGAACGTCGAATGTAAGATATATTTCAGGAGAGAGATTATTGCTAAATAATTGCAAGCAAAATTTCCGAGCGTTAATACAGCAAAAATATTTGATGGCGCAAATTTTCCTTTTTCTAAATCCTTTTTCCCGACATCGAGGCGATGGTCGGCTTGAGTCCAAGGGATTAACATGTCCCGACACATGTGATCTCATGATGTTTCAGATCCGGCGAAGGTTACGTTCACTCCCACCATCCAGTACCTGCCGTTCCGTCTGGCCGGTGTGGTCCAGTGTTACATAAAAGCCAACCCACCCCTGCAATACGTAACCTGGACCAAGGACAAGCGCCTACTCGAGCCTTATCAGACGAAGGACATCGTTATCATGAACAACGGCTCCCTGCTCTTTACACGGGTCAATGAGAATCACCAAGGCAGATATACCTGCACGCCTTATAATGCCCAGGGCACGCAGGGCAGTTCGGGTCCGATGGAGGTCCTCGTGCGGAATCCGCCTGTCTTCACCCTCGAGCCAGAACCAATGTACACGCGAAAGGTGGGCGAAACGGTCGAGATGCACTGCGACGCACAGGAGGCTGAGGGAACGCAGAAACCGACGATACAATGGCATCGGGTAAAGTTGCCGACGAAATATCCGCTTCAAACTCATTCCTGATGAAGCTCTTTCGTATCATCTTTCTGTCTGATTTATGTTTCTCTTTTTTTTTCTTAATTATAGTTTTTAATTGTGTAAAAAATATGCCTTTCTATTATTATTTCACCATCAAATATCCTGTTATCCTTTCCTAATCTTTTCCCAAGTATTCTCATTTATTATTTTATTATTATTACCTTTATTGAGTATATATAAAGAAATTATCAAAATGAACTACAAGTACGGTTTAAAAAAAGTACACTTGTGAATCAACACAAAAGTCTGAAAGACGCCGGAAACGACGGTTGTCAAACCTCTTTCGGACTTCCCTGTTATTCGAGTCGTGGTTTCCGCATTACACTTTCCGCGAGCTGTCCCGTGGCATTTTGTAAAACGTTCCCGAAACTACCTCAGAGGGAGGGACCCATCCAACGCAATCGCGCGAAGACCATTGGCGGCAATCTAACTATAGAGGGCCTTCGACGCACGGACTTCGGACTGTATCATTGCGTCGCCTCCAACGAAGTCGCCACAATCTCGTCCTCGACGCAGCTGATTGTCGAGGGCACGCAACCCCATGCTCCTTACAACGTGACAGGCACTGCCACGCAATTCTCGGTAACACTAAACTGGTTACCAGGCTATTCCGGCGGTCCTGATTACAAGCAAGATTATACTATCTGGTGGGTACACGGGACAGGTTGATTGGTATTATCACTTAAAGGTCCATCCATTCACGCGCAGGATAATCGATCAAATAAGAAATGAAATTACGTGTCTCGTCAAAATAATTTTATTCTCACGACTTACTAATTCTAGTAAATCAGCTTATAATTCTCATGCCTGTTTAAGTAGTATGTTCATAATTCTTTTTTTGCTAAACTTGCGAATTTACATTTGGATAAATTCGAACGTATCAAAAGAATGACGATTAGAATCTTCAACTTGAAGTGTTCATTATGGTTCGGTTAGATTTTTTTCATACGATCACGCTTTGTTTTTCGCGTTACGCCGTCCAGGCACAGGGAATCAGGAACTTCGGAATGGAAGACAATCCCCGTGACTCCGTCGGGCAGCACAACGGTGATGATTAACAGACTCACGCCTAGCACGCTCTACGAGTTCCGGGTAGTCGGGAAGAACGCTCTGGGCGAGGGATTGCTGAGCGAAGTCATCACAGTTAGGACTCGTGGTAATAGAAACTACATTATACCCGAATTTTTTGGTCATTGAAGTTCTCTCAGTAAATTCACGTGTGAGCAGTAGAAGGCGGACTCCTAATGAGCAGCTGTTTTGTAGCAAACGCCATTGATTAACCTCGTATGTGCGATTAATAACTACTAATAGATAATAACTACTGATTATACAATCTAATCTAGAAACTTGCTATAAATCCAATCTGTACATCTATTATAATACTACGAATCCAACCACAATTACGGCTGGCGAATCCATTTACCGACTAACACAAACTAATCTCTACTCTGTGTGCAAACTGTTCTTTCACTATCCATCTACCTCGCTGCGCTCCGCAAGACGTTGCCCCGATTCATTCGGCGACCCCCTCCTCGAGTGCTGGCCAAGCCGCAGCTACGGATCAAAGTGGTAAGAGTCAAACGACAAAATTAACGCTATTACGTCGCGACCTTGATACTAAGATAATGCGAGACGAGTATTGCGATTATGTAAAGACGACAAAGTCTGAGAAACAGTTTAAAAACGTGACGCACGAGCCGTCGACACTATTACCTACCGCCAATTTAAACGCATGATGTATCCGTGCCGCGGCGTATGGCGCCGGATGCCTCCAAGATGTTAAAATCGACGATCCTCAATCGTTATTTTAAATCCGCAAGCTAGCGGATCAGCTCTGAATATCTCGGAATATCCGCGAGTCGCGCGGCTCACTTCGCGAGCTGAGAATGGCGTCTCGATGACTGTCGACGGGAAATTCATGCGTGGGAATATCGTCTGCCGCGCGACCGTCTGCGATCCTCTCATCGGGGTATCGATCCGCGAGTCGAAAAGTCGCGCGACTTCCTCCTCGGTTAAAACCGTAGAGGAGGAAGGAGGAGAGCGGGCAGCCGCGGCAGAAAGGGTGAGAAGGAGGCAACAGGATAAGGAAAGGGGAGTATGCGGATACGGAATGAGGCAAGGAAACCGAGAAAAATAGACGGAGAAGGAACGGAGAATTCCGTGGCGACTTATCGTATCGGAAAACCCATCGAGCCGTTCATTCTGCTTCCGCTTTTATTTCCTTCCCTCAAATCCACCGGTTCATTGCCTTCCATTTGTACACACTGTACCTCGAGCATCCTCCGATACCGGCGTCTAGGGATTTCTATCTGGTTACCCTTCAAGCGTTTCTCCCGTGTCTCTCTCCATCCACCTCGGTTCTGCTCCTTTTTTTCTGCTTTCTCTCTTTCTCTCTCGCTGTGTCGCTTTTTAGCTTCTTACACTTTTACCTACGCCCGCATCGTCATCGATTTCGCTCGTTAGTTCGCGTCGACAAAGGGCCGGCTTCAACAATGCTGGTTAACCGCAGTTAACTAAATTTTCTTTCTCTACATGCCTCCCTCTATACAGACGTATAGACACATACAAGCGAGACAAGTATACAAGTATAGACGTATACAAGCGAGAACATACTTGAGCGCAATGTTTGCGGAGGGTCCTTTTTTCAGGAGGTAACTTCCGAAAGTCAATTCATTGTCGTGTCATTCTTCTTTCACGAACATTCGATTAAACATATCTTTTTTTACTAATTTCGTCTGAGTCTTGAATTACAGTTTAATTGAAGTTTGAGAGAAATTAACTTGCCAGTAGGCGCGTGTGAATTTGACTAACGTTAGTAGGCGCGTCCCATTTGATTATGTCATTTTGATTATGTTATGTATCAGCACATTTATTATAACAAATTAGCAACTAATAGAAAATATTTTAGTAATTTAGAATGTCGTAACAATGAATGAAAAAAACTTTACTAATTATATATTTTATTAATAATATTTCTTTTCGTTTCCTCGCTTCTTTATTTTTTTCACTTCTTTTTTTGAATTTATTTTATCTCCATTAGATGAATATAAATTTATTGACAGAATATATGAGTAACGTAACAAAAATTATACGCATGTTAAAAATCTATACATACAAAGATCTTTAATATTATAATTCCGACGGATGTTGTATGTTCGTATAAAAGTACACATGTTCACGTTCGAATTTCAGTTCGTACAGAAATAAGTAAGTTCTACTTCTTTATACTATGTAAAGAAAGACAAAACAAATTTACGTAAGACAAAAAAAATTTATGTAAAAGACAAAATTGTTAACAAATTGGCATGTATAATTAAAAAACGGACAAGTACAACAAAATGATCGGGACGCGTCGACTCTACGGGATAAAATTTTATTGTCTAAGCAACGCAAAATTCCTCAAAACTCGCCGAGTCTGCTTTGACAAGTTCGTTCGGAAATCGATCGATCTCTAATTCTGAGTACCACGCGAACTATGCTAGAAAGAGATCTAGAAAGAAGTATCTAGGTTGGAGTTAATTGACATTGATGAAACCGACCCCAACATGATTAGCACGAAGTTTAACGGTATGTTCGCCTGAATTTCAGTCGTGGGAATCTAGAGATCTGCAGCGCAGTGCTCACACTCCGTAGACATTTTTTTATATCTATGAGAGAGACAAGTGTGACTGCCATTAACCTCATCTCGACTCGATCTTTATTCCTTTTAATTTTTATTTGATTTTTTCTGCTATTTTTCATTTCAGACATCCTTGATTATAGCACACTCATATTACCGACCGATTCCACAGGAAACCCCGTGTTTCCAACCATCATACGACCGAAAGGTACACATTTTTTGTCTTTTTCTTTTTCAAGCTTACATTACACACGTAAGAAAAGGGTAATCCGTGCGAATGAGACGTATTTCGTTTCTCCGCATCGACGACGATATTACGAAACGACCGTCGGGTTCCGTAGACGCTCGAAAGCGTCGTTCACCGTCACTTTCATACCGCCCACGCATCTCTCTCTGCTGCATGCATTTAGCGCGTAATGTTCCACGGTGTATTAACATTAGGTGCCCGACGTGCACTGTGACATCGTACGAGCGCGCGTCTATCTTATCGCACGCCTCGTTACGAATTTTTCGCACCGCGAAAAAGGACGAGAGAGAAAGAGAGAGAGAGAGAGAGAGAGAGAGAGAGAGAGAGAGAGAAGGAGAGATCGAAAAGCCGCCTTTCTCTCGCATTTCGCGCGCCACAAGATTAATCGCCATTACGTACTATAGTGGACACGAAAACGAGTGTCGTGGGATCTGACAGGACAATGAGAACGAATACGCGCTCGCAGTATTCGGCATACAACGATGCGAGAACGATACGCGGGCGAAAATAAAACCGAAATCCTCTTAGCCGACGTACCGTAGGGAGCCAGACGGCGGGCATTCCACGAGGGAAAGCAGGAAATAACGTCATACATTTTGCACGTAGCAGACGGTTCCGAACAATCTACTTCGCGCCGGAGCCCGCAGGGCCGAGCACAGGCTAAGAAAGTTGCAGTCGCGCCGATTTTTCTCTACCCCCGCCGACCCCGGATCATGTTTAGATCGTCACACCGAACAGGGAGAGAGAGCTGAGGGTGGCATGACTCGATAAAAATAAAATTCCGACGAGGAGCTTTGACGTGTACGCAATGATTTCGGCGCGAAACCATACGTCACGTTGGCCGCTCGTATTTTCCCGACAGTTTTAATATCGACCCATTTCTCTCTTTCTCTCTCTCATGGCGCATTGCCGGTATTTTTATAAATATAATCCTCGACTACGGGCACGTATTCCTCTGCAGGAATAACGCGGGCGTTACGCGCAAAAAATAATAATGAAATCCTCTTTATCGCCGGCAGAGGCGAGAAAAAGCGCCCGGTAATGGGCGGTCAGCAGGACAGGGCGAGATGGGGTTGGAGAGGGAAAGAGGATAACTTCATATATTTTATCAAGCGAATACTCGAAACAATGCAAAACGTTAATATCGCAATCTCGCGGCCAAATCAAGCCACCTATTCGCCCGGCTGCGATTCTCTCACACGCGCGCACGCGAATAACGCGACACTGGGGAGGACTATCACAGGAGAAAAAGAGAAAGAGGAAAAAGAGAAAATCTCGTTTAACTGTCTAAAAATTGCAACGACAAATTTCACTGCGCGCTCAAATAACGACTGCGGAGTTTTGGGTCACTTTGTTTCTTCTTCATTAAACTTGTTAGCGCGTCCGAATTGCGTTCCACTCACACACAACGTGCAAACGTCCCGCATAAAATCTGCCGTATTTCCTTTGATCCCGAAAACGATCTTGCAGGTTTCACGGCGCGCTGATCAATTTGAATGGCTCTCAATAAGAACCGCTTCGTTCGGAGTAGCAACGCGACAGTAAATTCTGCGGACTTTGATGAGCTTCGCCGGTGTTTTAGGTCCGTGTAGTTGTCACTTGAAACTTATCTCGTGTAAGACACTCAGATCGAAATTTGAAGTTAGGTCCAAAATGTTCAGTTGAATTGTGCAACACGTATAATACATTATATCTGTGACTGCGATTCAACTGAAATATTCTACTCTAATTCTGAACTGAAATCTGAGTATTTCTCTTGAAAGTAACGACTACTAATACAGGCCTGAGGTCCGTATTAACAGCTACCACTTGGAGCTTGTCTTGTGTGATACACTTGAATGTTTATTCAGAGTTTACTTCGAATGTTCAAAAAGAGTCATTTTATATGTATTTATTTGATTGTCAATGTTATATAGGTGTGATAATATACCCTATAAAAACTGATGTGTTAAATTTAACAATTTCATGTGTCCCAAATCATCCACTCTCATTTATATATAAATTTAACACAAATGTGTTAAAAAGTAACACGCATAATATAGAAAAAATTAACACAAGCATTAAAACTTGAATACCGTTAGGAATCACAGGTTGTGTTAAATTGACATATTTAATATCTCAGACATAGACTGTCAATTTAACATTTTCATTTCATCTAAATCATAGATTAATACTTCTCTCAAATATTAAAATAACGTTTTATTTTAGTTAATTTAACATTATACATATGTATAATGGACAGAGTGGATGATTTGGAATACATGAAATGTTAAATTTAACACATCAGTTTTTACAGTGTACAAACTATTATTTGAGATTTTAGTTTTTCAATCCCGATTAAGTTTCTACTTTATTCCGTGTCTATTTACCAAAAAATCCTTTTGTACATGGAGAAAATATTGTAACAAAAATATTGCAACAAAATTTTCCTTAAATTATATGTATTATAATGCCACATATGTGGCGTTATATTATAATTATACGATTCAACTGAAGTACTTTTTATATAGAATTCTAAACTCGAATCTAAGTGTCTCATCTGTGAGAGCAGTTTCAAGTAATTATCATTAATACAGACTTCAAACACGCGCGTAAAAATCACCGTCCACGCGATCACTCATATCAGAGTGCCGTTTGATTGTAAGCGAAGAAATTTACCGGTCCGTTTGTCTGTAATCAACAAAGCAAACAATCGTGAAATAGTTTTTATGTCCGCCCGATCGCAATTCGCAACAACGAGGCAATTTCCGTCAATTTCGTAAATTCTGCCGAGATATTTCCCAGAATAGCGTCCATTAAATTGATGAGAGAGAGAACGGGCGTATTTGCTTTGTCGGAATAAACCAGCAGCACAGATTGGGCGAATCAGAATATGACGGAAAACAAAATACGGGAGCCCGAATCAAACGTTCGCACCTACCCATGCGAACTAACGGCTGTACGAACAGCCGTTTCCTTGCTTGTTTTCCTACTTTTTTTTTGTTTCCCTATTCTCTCTAGAAATATGTATTTCGAAACGTCGTGACGTCGCTACCGAGGAGAAATATCATCGGCTCGGACGTCGACAAGGTTAACGTGTGTATGCGCCGGAAGCAATTAGACCGTAATGTTATACACATTATGTATGTAAGAAATGATGAAAGAAGCTGACCTCATGCCTTTAGCTAGTCCGGTTAAGAAGTTGCACCAATAGCCGTTTCATTGCTATCTACTGCCTAATTCAGCGAATAACCGTGTAAAATATGTGCGACTATATTTAGATTCAGTAATAAAAATTCGCAAGTCGTTTACCTCTCGCTCGAATTAAATAATCGTACAAATAATGCTCGACGTGTTGTTGTTTCGAGCGAATATATCGATTTATTTTGCTATATCGTACAGATATCGCATAAATTAAAGAAGGGGGAAAAAGAGAAGCACGAGTTAACATAACCTGATGCGCATGAATATATTTAAAATAATTTCTACCCAAAAAAAAAACTTACGATCCGTCGCGTTATCAATGGCGATGTGTTTGCGCGAATCCAACCGACGCAAAAGAATTTTTTTCATAAGTGACATATCGCAGTCGTCCCAGATACGCGATGATGAAAAAAGTCAGACGTACAACTCGATGACGCGATATAGCGATGGGTTTGATAGATGTGAAAATGTCGCTGCGGTCGGAACGGTGCTAACGTTTCCATCAAAAAAAGCTTTCCGCTGGCGTTGCAACTCGGTGCGTCACCGGAATTATTTCGGAGTTACGACAGCGATATTTATTCGCCGGCGCCAAAAAGATTTCTCCTACGTCGATTTTTATTTATTTTTTTTTGCTTCGCGTGCACGGCGCACAACGCGTATGCACATATGAGAGGGAGAATTTTATCATTATCTCTGTGCGCAATAAAATATATACACGTAATAAAACGACGTGACCGCTTCATCGACAGAAACAACTGATCAATCGCGCCGCGGTATAAAGCAGATCGAAACAATGCGAAACTGCACGAAACCGCGACCGGAATGAAAAATAGAGTGAACACTTTCGTGCGTGTTATCACCGGCGACCGCCACTCACCAGCACAATTTGCATCGCCAGGACCAAAGCCAGGTACACCCCGGAACCTCACGGTGACGGAAATCAGCAACGGTTTCCTGATAACCTGGCAACCTCCTTTGAACCGTAGTCATCTTATTCAATACTACACTATCAAGTACAAGACGGACGGACCTTGGAAAACGCTCAACAAGGGCCAAATACGACCCGAGGAGACCAGTTATTTAGGTGAGAAAGACACGCACTCTTGCCCCGTTACTCTGCCGTTTATTCTTTAACACTAGAATCTCCGATGAAACTATTTTGACTCCTTTAAGATCTTCTTCTTGTCATTATTTCTCTTGACTTAGAAGAACAAAATCTTTTGCGACTTTTGCTTATTTTTAAAGTAGAACACACTGGAAAAATAAGGAGAGATCGATAATATTTCGATGAATTATTTTATGATTTACCTTGAGTGTCCAAAGAGAGTCATTTTGTATATATTTATTTAATTGTCAATGTTATATAGGGGTAACATATAAATTATTACTTGAGAGTTTAGTTTTTCAATTCTGATTAAGTTTCTATTTTATTCCGCATCTATTTATCAAAAAATTCTTTTGTACATGGAGAAAATATTATAGCAAAAGTATTGCAACAAAATTTTTATAATCTTGGATCATATATAATTATGATCGAAATTACTATATATTTCTTCAAAAATTACGTTCCTTCGACTTTCACTACAAAATCATTTTTATTACTGGAATGTTTTTTATGTATATTAGGGTCGATCGTTAAATTTACAATTTCTACAATAAGTCATGCCACAATTTCAATATAGCCCAGCCTTACAAAAGGTATTATAAAAGGAAATATAATTTTAACGTAATTTTTACTATAATATCTTCTCCGCGTAATTATAAAGATATACAAGTAATAATTATAATGCTTCTTATTGTAGGAAATGATAAATATTTGGAAAATTTTTGAAAATTGTTATAATTTGTTCACAATGTATAAAATACCTATATTTGGCGAATTATGTTCTTAGCATGTTTAGACGTTATCATTGATACAAGTAATGAGGAACAGAGAGAGTTTGAAAATATTAGAATCGCGCAAGAAGTCAAAATGACTCTTTCGGGGTTATCGGGCATTCTAGTGTTAATCGCACGGCACAATTATTTTGCGTAAGAGTTCTCTCACTAGTTCTTACTAGCGTCGGACAGAGGTGTCCAACACCACCGAGTTCCACTTCCACTCACAGACCAATGCTACTTATCGATCCGATTGTTTTTGAGAGTCACAGCTTTCATGCGATTTCCCGTTTAACGTGAACACCCACAGTGAAGAACCTGGTCGGTGGTAGGACCTACTATTTCCAAGTGTTCGCCAACTCGGCTACAAATTATGGCGCGAGCGACCAGGTGAAGTTCCCCGTGCCGGCTCGCGTTAAACACAAAGCGATCACCGCGGGCGTCGTAGGCGGTATCCTCTTCTTCCTCGTCGCCATCATCCTCAGCATATGCGCGGTGAAGATCTGCAATAAGCGGAAGAGACGAAAACAGGAGAAAGGTATGGACGCCCCGTGGCGTTATCGTCGTATCGTACACCGTCTTGTCCGCATCTCGCCTGCACCTGTGCTCCTAGTTGTGTCGTCTCTGCATTAACTCGCGTAAGAAAGGCAGTTATGCCACGGCGAAGATAACGAAGACGTACGATCGCATGTTCTCGTTTTTAAAATGCACATGGATCTAAACGCGTACGATTTCACGATCGTACCGATTTGTCTAATTGCGCGAATTGCAACTCGCGTTTCACGTTTTCTCAAAACAGAATCTACAAATAGGTAGATCGGTACTGTATCAATCGCCGTGTCATTATGTGCTGACCGTGATGAAGAATACGCTGTATTGGTCCGTTCTGGGCCCGCTTATCATTTAACTTCAATTCTAAAGGCTCTCTCCAGCATTGACCGATCGTGACTTACACTTAGCGCCCAGAACTGATCAAAGAGATGACTACGATCTGGTAACGCAGGCGCTGGGCATGCACCTGTGAACCTGAACACATTCGTGGTTAACATAGTTATGTAACATTGTAGAACTGCTTTCAGCGTATAACATGGTGGCCTGCCGGGTCACCGACGCCAGGAACGGCGCAGGGCAGGGGTCCCAGGGAACAGTGCCTTTGAAAAAGTGAGTGTCTATATCCCGAAATACCACTAACCCCCTCAGGTCCCACAGAGTCTTGACTCACGATACTTTGGAGCACCCCCGTCGAGGCGCCCAAAGGCTCCGATCAGATGACAAAAGTAGACGGTGGAAGTCGCAACAGCACCGATCGGATCAAAATCCGAGCAAAGACAACCAGAGACCCGCGAACTAATCTTTCCAAAATTATTCAGCTATCTTTATCAGCTGCCCAAGTTTTTGAAAGAAATTCTTCCTTTTACCCACAACAAGCCAAGACTCGTCACGATGACATCTTTCAAGCGTGTGATTCGATATATCGTCGGTAATCTCACGACGCTCGCTGAATGTCCATAGTCAGCTGACGATAGTACACGAGACTGCGCCAGACTGACCTAACAAAGCGTCCGACCGCCCTCTCGCTGATGAAGAGGTCTCTAACTCGATTGAGATAGAGCAGGTCGTGCAAGCGTCGTAGATCGCCGATGATTGCGTATCGTCAAAACACGTCACGGTGCAGATGCGACTTCAAAGAAACATATATATCACTTAGGCTTAGCCAGAGTTAGCGAATAAGTCCACTCCACCCCCTATTACGAGCAATAGGCGACCGAAGCACCGCAAGCATTTACGAAATCTCTCACGAAGTAATTCTAGCCAACAGATATTCGAACATTGATCTGATATTACATATACATCTATATTCAGGATGTTAAAAAAAAGGAGTGTTTCGAATATTCGACGGCCCGTGGAGAGAAGGGAGGGGTGCTCGCTAAACGGAATAAAAAACGAGAAAAACAACCAACAATAATTATTTACTACGGAAGCGACTCTATTCGCGGACCTACGTCCAAGCCTGAGCGTTTTTTATTTGGTTTGGTATTACGAGCCTTCAAATATTATAACGACCTTCTTCTAACGTCCTGCATATATTGCCTCGGGATATGTATCGGGATTTACATATACTTCGTATCGCTCTTACGTCAACGACTCTTGTAACTGTGATTTTCTGATCCGTATCTCCAATAGTAGCTTCTCTTTACGAGAGATCATACGAACATCTCACAAAGCTAACAATGTCGCCCGATTATTTTGCAAATTTACAATCGTGAGTAACGATAACGTGCCGTTGTCGTACTAGCGACGCGCTCACAAAGCTATATATATATATATATATATATATATA